AAAAAAAAAAAAAAAAAAAAAAAAAAACTAGGAAATGAGACTGTTTTAGTTGGTCAGTCCTCATGCGTGAAGTCTGCACAGCCAGCAGCAAATATTAAGTAGTGCTGCATCTGTGTATGTGTTCAGGCAGAGTACTTGGAGTTTTACATCTCTCTGCTTTGTAATAGCCTAGTAAGAGTGAGAGCTGTTTTTAAAGGGGAATGAAAACGTTTGAAATTGTTCTGCCCGTGTCTGTGTAGATGGCTGTGAAAACGCTCAGTTGAGGTAACTGGCGGGGACAGAGGAGTTGCTGCTTGCAGCTCCGCGTGTGCCTTCCCCCAAGAGAGCTTGTGGCTCTCCATGCCGGTGCCTGGGAGCAGGCACAGAGCTGCCAGGCCTCCGGGAGCTCCCCCTCGGCACCCGCTCCCCGRCTGCCAGCCGAGCTGCCCCTTCTCCTCTGCAAATTCCTTGGAGCAGGGAAGAGGTGTTGTCCGCAGCGCGAGGATAAGACCTAGGTGCGTAAGACACTTGACTAAGGCATATGCAATATATATRCAGTATATATTATGTAAAAAGAAGCAAAGGAACAGGTTGCCAAAGACAGAAATGAGAAAACGTACACTACCTGTTATTTCTCCTAGAAAGGAAAAGATCGTTATGAAATACATTCCTCTCCATGAGCAGAGACAGTGACTATCCATTTCACTTGCTGCCTTTCCTCGCTCCAAATAACACTCAGGAAGAAGAAAAAAAAGAAAAAAGAAAAAAGAGAAGTGGTGATAAGGCACCCAGCAGTTCTTGCCTTTCCTTCCGGAAAACGCCCTGCACTTGCAGTATCATTTTGGTCTAAACCACTTAGAGATGTAACCAGAAGTTAAGGTCTGTTGTAGAGACCAGGAGCTTGGTACTGTCTGTGTAACGTAGCGGTGTCGGCTGTTTTTATCACTTTAGAGGGCATTTGGTTTGATTTTAACTTAAGGATATTTGGAGTTGGAGCCTAGGTATTCAAGTGTGTGACACTGAGGAAAGAGAGCTCTCTAAAAGACACATCACAAACCCTGGTGTCCCTTCGCCATTTTCTTCTCTCAGCTGAGTGATTTCTGTTGGGAATTCGGAGCTTTGAGGAGGTTGCTTTGCTGCCTGTTCTGCTCAGAGCGGCTTCCAACTGCACAGTTACATTTATACCTTATTTCTGTAAAGTGGTAAAGAAAGATGGAGAAAGCTTCTGGTTTCAGAAACCGTTTCTGAATTGCAGTTTATGATTAAATCATGAGGATGTTTCAGCCTCCTAAGTTGCAGCCTTACTTGTGTGTTCTCTTTATCTCACACTGCTGAAAGCTGTCGTAGTGACCGAGTTTGACACTTGGCATCATGCTGTGAACTGGGACAGCCCGAAAGCAAGAAGTGCCCAGCTGGGTGAGGGGCCCGAGCTCCTCACTGGGCTGGTCACACCTGCCACACACACCAGGGCACTCGCTTCAGGCTGAGGACTCGAGCTCTCACACATGGCGGGTCCCTGCTGTTGCAGGGGGTGGAGGGTCTTTTGGGCATTTCCTGGGTTTGTTCACGAGGTCACAGTCCCCCGCTCCAAAATGTTGTCTTTCCACCCTTRCTGTATATATATAAAATGAAAAACTAGGGCAAAAAATATGCCTCACAATTTAATCAACTTCTGTCTCTCTCAAACTTAATGGCAGGCACAGACTGTGAAGACCTCAAAGTCTTTCTGTGTTTTTATTTRGAGTATTGGGGGAATACAAACAAAAAACAGTCTCCACCATAAACTGTTTCATCAGAGGAGCAGGAGTATGAACAGTCCGTGACAGAATAGRCAGACAAGAAGGTGTAGATCTAGCTTGGGCAGAAAACCAGAAAAACAGGAGAGAAATTGAAGGGGAAAAACAAAAGTTTACTTTTTCTGTTGTCCAAAATAACTAAAATGCAGCAAGCAGGCAGGAGCATAAATTGTGGCAAGTGAATAAATGTGTCAATTCTTGTCGATGCAGTGTTTTATAATATTGTTCATTTCTGTAAYGTTTAGCTTTCTTGTAGTCTGGAAGCCTGTGCCCTTCCCAGGCTTTGCTGTAGAGGGTGCCATTCGCTCACCCCATTATTCCATCTTAGCTCTTCGTTTCTCTCTCTCAGCATTTCCTGCTTGCTTTGTGAAGCTTTTTTCCACTCGTTTTCTTTGATTTTTCTGCACAACCCTGCTGGCCTGTCCTTTCTCTCCTGCTACCAGAGATGCCAGGCGGATGGTTCAGGTTTGGGACAAACACGTGCCACAGTCCCCTGTATATGGATATGGATCCCTTACCTCATCTCCCATCTCATCTTCCGATTTAGAAAGGTCACAATATTTAAATACACAAGTTTATTATGTTGCTCATGAGTCATTTTATTCTACAACTACATTATATAACACTATTTAGTTCACACACACACACGCGCACACACAGGATAGTTGTAAAACTAAACGAAGGTTTTCTAAGGGTTTCTAGGTTTTGAGAAGGGGTCTGGTCAGTGCCAATTCTGTTTCGCAGGAAGTCAGGGTAGAAAGTCACTGTAAAAATGTCCATTGACCTCGAGGACCTCAAAGTAATCCATGTTGAGACGGAGCACCTTGCCAACCTGATCCTAAACAAGCGATACCAACTTGTTCTTAAAAAGAAAGAAATACCAGTGAGAGTGCAGATGCTTATATATATAAGCATATAACTGCCCAATGAAGCCTACAGAACTGGGGACCACTGATAACACCTTCAGCAAATTAGGTGCCAGCTTCACCAATAGATTACTCCATTTCACACAGCTGCAGATGTCCAGAAYCCGGCAGGAGTAGTGCAGTGGCAGAGCAGCACCCGAGGGCCACCAAGGCTCTTGTCAGTTGGTCTTCTGGAAGCTTGCGTTTGTCACCTAGAGCAACACACAGACCTGGRGGCAGCAGCATGTCATTTGGTACATGCATTTCAGCCAGGCTACACACTGGAACAAGGTTGTAGCCTGGTTATTTAGACATTAAACAAGCTGCTCTCAGATACAACCGGCCGGCCRTCACGGCCCAGCCTCTGCCCATGCTGGAAGCTCCTGTTTCACCTGGTGGATCTGCTTCTGGAGTTCGTCTTTGTCAAGCTTCATTTTTGCTTCTAGAACTTGTCGTAGAGACCCAATGCTTTCATAGATAGCTGCAAATCCTAATGGCAGATGAAAGTTCMATTAGTTCTAATCAAAAGAGCATGAGAACCAATAGCTGGACACACCATAACAGTTCATATTTACACTAGGAGGATAACAAATTCCACAAGAAAAATAGGACTTTAATTGTAAGCAGTCTGGTACATTCTGTAATGGTGTGGGGAAGGGGGCAGCTGACAAGATGTACCTCATGTTCTGTGCATTCCGAAGTTGGGGAAAACCCTTTTGGATGCCCCAGGCATGGGCAGCCATYCCATCTGTCCCCTTCAGACTTCAAACTACTTGGTGCAACACATTTTGCAAAACATTATAGGTAAAGCACGGTCACCATAATTCAGATTAAAGAATATGTTAAATGTGCTCCTACCAGCATTGACTTCAGCTTTCATTTCTTTTATGTCTTCATTAATCTCACTTTGAAGTTTGCTGATACGGACATTTATCTTTTCTTCGGTCTGTTTTGCTTCATGTGCTTCCATGGTTATCTTTTGTAGTTCTTCTATTTTATCAATTTTCTCTGACATTTGGTTGAATTTCATTTCTATAGCCCTTTCACTCATTTCCTGGTGCCAAGAAAATTAATTTTAATGGATTGCTSTGCATATGAAATTAGAGTGATCTTTTCCAGATATGCAATAGGTGTTAATTAATAATAATTTCCTATGTGAAATTTAAAGGTTTAAGGAATTGTACTTTATTTCATAAAATCTTAAACTGGTCTGATTACTATAGGCTAAAATACTGAAGTGTTTAAAAGCATTCACATTTGTTTCAAGATTCTCAAGCTACATCAACATTCTGCAAACTGTGTTATAAAATTAGGAATTATATTTGATCTCAGTGGGAAAAGATTTATACAGATCCTGAAAGATCCACTCAAATAGGTCAGTTACCTTATATTGGTAACATATAAACACTTTTATTGAAACTTACAGTGTTTTCCTTAACAGTCAGTGAGAACTGGTCAATTTTTTGTACAAGCTCTTTCTCTATCTTCTCATGTTCCTGTTCCAGCCAGCTACGTGCAGATAAAATCTGGCTGCTGAGTTCCTCAATAGCATTTTTTAATCTAAGAGTGTAAAAAAAAAAAAAAAAAGAAAAAAAAAAGAGAGATATAAGAGAGCAGAACTTGGGGTCATTCAGCAGTGATAGTGATGATTTTCTGATTTTCATAAAATTTAATGATAATTTGATACATCCTTGACATATTAAAGTGAAATTTTGAATTTTAAGACTATTATACTGAGTAAAGCAGCATATTTGCTGGTTTTAGTAAGCATGAAAGAGCACACCAAAATAGCAATTATCCATATGAATCAAATTACAACACTTTGAGGCAACATTCTTCAAATACAGATGCAAATAATATATCTGCTCCGAGTAGAGATCCAAATTCTTCCCAGTTTCGGGAAAGGAATATGATCATGCATTCATGTTACAACCTTTGTGTCCATGGGTCTTCAGTCTGAACACAGATTTGATAAACCTTTCTTCTAGTAGCAATGGCAGTTTGCATGGCCCTGACTTGTTCTCCTGTCCCTGTCTCCAGGTTACACCAGCCTCTTGTGCCACTGAAACTGTTTCTTCAGACAGATGGGGAAAGATGAAAGCAAATAATAATAATAATAATTGTTTAATAGCTTTATTGCCATAACTGATTGTATTGTGTGAGGATGGCAATAAGCAGTGAAGGGGAAGTTAAGAGAATRTAAGTCAGAACTGCCTCTGGATGCAAGTGTGCGGAAGAGCCCATATTTGGATTAAATGTACACCTCTAAGTGGCTAGTAGCATTTGCATTCTTAGCTGTTTGCCTTGTTAGTTCAGTGCTGGTTACTGAGTGTGAAGCTGCAGCCGTGGGTGAGCGGTGGCACTGGCCTCCCAGCTCGCCCGGCGCCCAGCCCTCGCGTGTGGTTCCGCGCGTTGCATCCTGGACGGCTCCGCACTGACGGCTCCCCCGCGCGGCGCAGGACTGTGAGAGGGGCAGGAGCATCTAGCCAGGGGTTTGCAAAACTGCCTACCCACACAACCATAGAGCGATGGAGGTTGGAAGGGACCTCCAGAGATCATCTAGYCCAACCTCCTGCTCCAGCAGGACACCCAGAGCACAGGGCAGCATCCAGAYGGGTTTGGAAGATCTCCAGGGCAGGAGACCCACAACTCTCTGGGCAGCCTGTTCCAGGACTCTGTCACCCTCACAGTGAAGATCTTCCCCATAGAGAGATGGAACTTCCTGTGTTTCAATTTGTACTCTTCGACCTGCCCTCTCTGGTCCCACTCCCCATGGCGCTCTAGRCTTTCTCACTCTCTTAACCCTAACCCTAACCCTAAGCCCAAGGTCACCAGGCCTAGTGCTGAATAAACCACAAATACCAGCTCAGGGGCTTAATTCTCTTTGCAAACAAGGGCCGCGTGCCAGCCCATGTGACACCTCCACGTTCAGACTCACTTGGTGTCCAGCTGGTGGAGCTGCTGGCCGCTCTCTTTGTAGGCGAGCTTCAGCCTCGTCTCCTGCTGCATGGCCGCCTGCTCCACGCGGCTCAGCAGGTGCGAGATCTGAAACAGAACCTGAGTTAGGAGCTTGTTACAGCGCTTAACCGCGGCCTCTCGCTTGGGACAGCCTCATAACGCTAGAGGAGGTAGTAAAGAAGGGCCTTTTTTGTTCACACTTCCAAAATTATCAGATTTGCACATCTTTTCTAGCATGAAAAAGATAACATTCCTCAAAACAAAAGCAGCAACGTTGAGAAAACTGTATTTGCCAACTGTGACCAGCTGGATCAGCCCTGCCCTGAAAGCACTGGCCTGCTCTCTCTTTTGAGATAACCAGATTCACAGGATCCATAYGGGATACCTGAATATATAGAATCCATAAATCTGAACATAAGCAGAGTAAGTGAATAACAAAACACTCCACCAATACTGAGTGATATTCTTCAGTAATGGCTATTATATTGATGAACCCCCTGGATTTAATTGGAGCTTTCCTATTAGTAACATAAAATATTTATCACAAAGTCATCATCCCTCTTTTTTATTTACTGGCCTATGTCTGATTGTGCAAGATCCGTGACAGCAGGTCCCTAGAACAGTATCATGCTAAGGATCATGCCAAGGCACTCCACTGAGTCTCCCAAAGAAGCTAGCATGAATTTTAACCATTTAGCTGTCATAAAATAAAGTCGTTTTGTTGCCTAGGAAAATGGGAAGGTAGTGAGAGGGAGACAGGCAGAATCCTTGGCATGGAAAGCCGCAGCTTGTGTGCAGGGCTCCCTTGTACTTGGGCAGCACAGCAGCAAACCCATTGCAGGGTCCAGAACCCCCAGGCAGCTTCGTTCCCAAGGCTGTGACCAAGGCAGGGGCTGTGCTTGGCCCTTGGCACATCTTGCTCTGCACACCATACCTGTATCTCTGCCTCTTTGACTTTGGATTCTAGGATCAGTTTAGAGGTGTGTTGATCTTTACTTAGGCTCTGAAGTCTCTCGTATGTAATCTTATGCTCTGCAGACAGTCTGGCTAGCCCGGCATCACACCTGTGTGGATAAATGAATACGGTCAGCAGCTGAAGAGAGTGTAAGGGCCAGGCTTTTAAACTGTTTCACGATGGTCCTCTCTGTGAGCGTGCTCAGCTGTCTAGCAAAACATCGCCTAAGGAGAAAGGCCCGAAGAATGCTGATGTATCTCTTAATATTTGGAAAATTGCTCCCAAATGGGAAGAGGAGTCAAGTAGTCTAATGAATACACACCTATTTTCTCAGCTCTAATATAGTAGGCGTTAAATGTGTTATCAGAGTTGGGGAAATCACATTAGAAATTCAGAGATGCAGAATTTCAGTAACTTAAACTTTTCCCATACTCTACCAGGTGACTGCTAACACGTGTATAATTCAGCCTTGAGCTTCATTTCAGTAAGGCACTTCAGAGTTTACTTGTCACATGTAATGAAAAAATAATTGCAAAGACCACTTTTTTTCTTTATTTTAACTGTTTTCATCTGAGGTTTACATTCATATTCATACTTTAATTTGCAAAATAGCAATGCACAATTAATGCATGTAGTAAGCAGTGGGAGGCAAGTTACAGCCATTTAGCTATATTTAGCTGTCATTTAAAGCAATGGCAGTTTTGTCTCACTAAAGACTAAGAAATGCAGTACTGAAGCATAATAATTATTCATTCCTTTCTTCACACTGGAACATTTCTCTATGCCGTAACATTTTCAGACAAATGGTGCTATAGAATCTGTGCATTTTCTAGCACATGTCAAAAATGGTTTTGTCAGATGGGTTTCAYCTACAGTAATACAATAAGGGCATCAACTGAGCTGTAAAAATAGAGGTACTGTGATTCCAGGAGGAAGACTCTTGAGAAGTATGAGTCATATAATTTTTGGTTAAGGGAAATATATAATAGCCAAAGTTACCAAATGTGATACATGAAACTGATGTAGGACAGGCATCAGTGGACAATTTGAGGAAGAAAAGTCAGTAATATCGGACATCTGTGGCAGTTTAAGTCATTACATAAAGCAATGACACATTTTAACTTGAATTAAATAAACATCCGCCCTTGAGTACTTTTTGTAGGCTGCTGAAGGTATCTGTAAATCAAGTGGGGTAAATAGCTGACACAATTGGATGTGCAAAGAAAGAAAGTATCTATACAATATAGATAGTAGGACAATTTCAGGACAAATGTAATTCCACTGGAATTACCATCCAGAAAGATTTGCAAAAGCGCCAGTGACGGTACAAGCTTGAGACCAATTTTAGTTGTACAGGTATGTCCAGGAGATGGAAGCAGCTTGGAAACCCCTATTACTATAAGCTTTTCTGCTCCTTGCATATCAGGTAGTCCACGTTGTTTTTAAAATGGCTTTTAAACTGGCTAACCAATAACTTAATGCGCATAGTTTTACCTCTTAAATGCAGAAAATGTGCAATTACTGTGTTCTTTACAAGTGCAGTCTGTTCCGTGCTGCCTCAAGAGTAATTGCACTAATTAATTTGTTTCAAAGACAGACCAATCTAACCATAGTAATTTCTAAAGCTAAACACAAAGCCAAACAGCTGTGGAATTCGAGGTTATTTGTTTAAGATAATTACGGGAATGAAGGGTCATATTGTTAAATTTAATATTTAATACTGGAATGCTGGATTATTATTTGTTTTCTTAAAAACAGTGAGCAAGATTATCCTGGGAATTTTGCCAAAATGGAATTCAGACTGTTATCAGAAACACTTAACATTCATACTTCAAGACTAAAACATTATTTGTTGGTCCCCAAAATATACTTCTCTATTGGCATTTACCTTGCAACTCTTCCCCGAAGATCTCCAAGGCCAGAAAGCTGCCGCATTTCCAGACTCTTTAGGGTAGAATTTGTTCCGTAGCTGAGATTATCTCTGACACGTATCTGTTCTTGCAGCATCTACAAAGCATTCATATGCAAATATAAATTCAGTATGTCACATTTAATGTACATTTAAAATGTCACTCATTTTTAAGTAGTTCAGTAAAATCAGAGAAGATTTTATTATTTAATAAAACGTTTGCATCATATTAGTACTTTTGGGTCAGTTCTTACTGAGCCAACAGTTACCTTTGGGCCATATATTATCTCTTATTTTTCCTGTCCAGTTATCACAATATGGATACAGGATGCCTTGACAGTGGAATGAAGACTTCAAATATGCAGCTGTTAATCCCACCACCCCCATGTTGCTCATGGCAGGGGGGCCGGGCCTGAAGTCCCCTGTCTGTGTGTAGTTAGCGCCTGAAAACACGCGCCTGGCTTTGGCTGCTTGTGGTGTTGGAAATTCACAAGTGAGAGAAGGATTCCTGCAGAGCTCAAACGTTTCCTAGCATTGGTGCAGAGCAGCCCTTGGGCTGATGTGGAGCTGGGTGTTATAGTGTCACGTGAATTCATTTTCTCTAGGTTTTCCCCTGTGGCTCTTGAAAGGCAGCTGATTAGTACCACAAAGGTTTCTCTGTTTATATGCTAATATCCTGAGCTATTTTTGTAGCTATTGAAAGAATTACATAATTTGCAAACAGTTTTCCAAGTTATAAAAACAATTTGCAAGCCTACAGGCTCTTCAGGTGTTATCTTAACTTCCCTTATCCTGCGCTAAGTGTCCTTCCCAAGCTGGAAGGAGCCGCGGAGTGGCGGGGCTGGGGCTGGGGCGCCGCGCACCTCGATGTCCCGGTTGAGCTGCCGCACTATGGCCGTGATGTTGCGGATGTGCTCCTCCAGGAGCTGCCGCGCCAGGCGGTCACCGCCGCCCTTGTTCTGCATCCTGTGCAGTGTGGAGACGATGTCCTCCTTGATGCGGAAGGCGTGCTCCACCAGCGCCGCCGTGGTCTTCTCATGGCTCAGGATGCGGTCCTCGAGCTGGTCCACAAGGCTCGCGGACGCCAGCGGCACTGCCGTCAGCGCCTGGCTGTGCAGGGCTATGTTTCGAACCCGTCTGGTGGCAAACGTTCAGAGAGGGTTTAGTGCTTGCGCAAAACTCGCCGTGGCTTTTAGGTGCTGTCTTAGTACTGAGAAGAAACACTAACGTACAGCCCGAGAGAGGATAAATGGACCTACTATTTGCTACTGCACCTGTGTCTGGTACAAGGGCAGGTCAGGATCTTTTTGCCAACCCTTTAAAGAAGCTTGCAAAGAGACAGGACCTTCACAAAGGACATTAGCATTATACAAGTAGTTGCAATTCCGAATGATAATTTGATTAAGAACCCAAACTCCATTCACTTCTATTGAGTTTTAGAAATAATGCTTTTTGTGCAGTTTTCATCTTCAGTCAGCCTGAATCAAAGTAGGAACTGTAGAAAGTAGATACTGCAAACTAAATGAAATGTAGGCTGAGATTAAAAAGGAGTAGCTTCTGTCTACTCCTTTTTCCTGTATATCCGGCAATACTGTAACACCATACAGAAACTTGTCCTCCTGTAACCTGGGCAGGAACAAATGTAGAAAATAGAAAATTATGATAGGTTTCTCATGGTCTCAGAAGTAAAATTCTAAAAAAAAAAAAAGGAAGGAAAAAATAAATCTCTTCACTGCCTTGCATCCATGAAAAGCAATGGAAGCTCATGGATGCTCAAACTTTAAAAAAAATCAGGCTATTGATGCATGCAATCTTTTTCAGCAGCTATGTTCTGTAAAAGAAAAAAAGAAATGTTTCAAAAGCAGAAGGTAGAAGTTTTAACTTCTTTGAAAGAAGAAATTCTGTTATTTGTACTGTCCATCCTGTTTCATGTTAATGAGCCAAATTCATAGCGTACTGTGATCATCACCATAATGATGTTGATAGAAATGAGGACTAGCAAGGGCGAGTTCTTGTCCTGGCTTTTCACATGTATTCAATATTTTGGCCAGAGTATAGTATCCTTAAGCTTCACTTTAAACTGTGTGATGTTTTTTTTCCCTTGAAAAAGGGTAAAGTAAAAGCCAAGTAAGGAACTGTTCAGACTGTGATTTGAATGACTCTACAGTGTTTCACTTTGTATACTAAATGCCAAAGTTAAAAATTACAGCATTATTATAGATAGGGATTAAGAGACAGACTTAATACTCTGGAGTATGCAGATGGATTTTTTTTTTTTTTTGTACATTCCAGACTTTACCTTTCAGAATGAGCAAGAGTTGGGAAGATAGGGCTTCTCTGGGCCATTTTCCAGTCAATAATTTGTCTGTTGAAAAAGTACATATTGAATTATTTAACAGTTTATATCTGGCATGAAATTACTTAATGCTTTTGCTTTATGTGAAACTTTAAGTGAAGTTTAATTAAGATTATGCTGACAATTCTGGTCTTAGAAGATCAGAAGAGTCTAAAATACTTATGAAATAAATGCACAGAACTTGACACAAGAGAGCAAAAGAATAAAAACTAAAACCAGCTAAAAGGCCTTTTATAGTGAAAATAATATTCCTGGAAAGGGCAAAGTTGAGGGCCTTGAAACCCAAATCTGCTGCTGACCGGCCAGACTGGTTTGGCAGGACAGAAACAACCTTCTCCTCCCCATCTGCTGGGCTCAGACCTTATCAATTGGTGAACACAAACCTAACATACACGAGACTGCAGTGGAACTTAGGAATGCAGAGGCCAAAGAATTCCATGCAAATATTCCTGACAACAGATCATTAGGGATAGGGTGTTCCTCCTGTGAAAATACTGGCAATCTGCTAAGTTAGTGATTGCTGTCATTGAAGAAAACAGCCAATTAACCATTTGTTTTCAAATCTGAATGGCCACTCTTTGTGTGTGATAAGTTTCTAAATTCTGTTTTTAATTATTAGAGCCAAACAGTCTGTGATAGACATTGAAGCTCTGTTGAAGAACTTCACTAAGACATTTCAGATACCCTATCGTGGCTTCAGTATCTTTGCTCTGATGACAAAATTAGAAAAATAAATAGAAGTTTGGTAGCCTTACCCAAATCCTGCTAYTGTACCCCATATAAAACATCTGAAAATATAATGATGGTGAGTGAGCATGACTGTGCTGCTGGAGGCCTGCCCCGAATTCCTTAGGATGCTGAGATCTGCACTGAAAACCAAAGGCTGATCGTTGAAAATAGTTTTGCATTTGCTTAGGGAGCCTGGTGCAATGTGCTGTACAAATGGAAAGGGAAGATCAGGGTTATTTAAACAGAGCCATCAACTTTTGAAATAAGAAAGTGGTAGGAGTATCCTTGGAAATTTCAGAATGCAAAGCATGCTTGTGCTTTAGAAACGTATGAAAGCACTGCCTAAAATGCAGCGAGCAAACATTGTCACAGTGTGCGTGCTCTATTTATAGCACCGTGCTTCAGAAACTACAAATTAGAAAAAAATAGTTTTAAGAGAGGCTGGGTTGCTGAGCAGCRGTGGCACTAGACTGGAATCCAGAAGCTCTCATTTTAATTCCTCGCGCGCTCCCTGATCCCAGTGGCTTCGGGTTATTTCCCTGCCTGGTGACTCGGTCTCTTTGTGTTTAAACACGACGAGGATACACACCTGCCTGCAGAAGCTCTTCCACGTCCCTGGTAGGACGTGCCAGGTAAGAGCTGGGGGAGCCTCCTGCTCCCACTGCCCTGGCGCTGCCAGAGCAGAGCYTGGGCCAGAGCAGAGCCCGGCTCACGGGGCCTGGAGGCCCTGGCCATGCCATGTTTTAATGATCTTGATGCAGCAAAGCGGTTAAGCACAGGAGCATCCCACCAACTCAAGCAGAGCCCTGCCTAGCRCAGCAGCAAAGCCCTGGCTACTGTCTCCAAAGCCTAGCAACAAATACTGAAGTTTTTAAAATGCACATCTAGCAGGACCTCAGTAGGATACTCCTTAGCTCAGCTCACAGTAGTTTCATCCTTTGAATTGCATTTTGTATCAATTAAAAAAAAAAAAAAAAATTGGAGCAGAATTAGCGTGGGATTGCTTGAAGTTTTTACTTTTTCTTCCTGACTGCCATTAGCCATCCAGCTAAGCACAAATGYCTGGAGAGACTGTGCACATGAAACAAAATGTACACAGATGGACTTCTCCTTCGTTTGGCGTGGTTAATTTAAGCACATCGCTGGGATCTCGCCCAGGCGCCCATCACATCTCGTGCTTTGAGCTGCTCCGGCATCCAGACAGGATACAGAAGGATCCTGGTCAGCAGGGCACCAAACTTTGTTGCAGTTCGGAGGTATTTGCAGCCAGCAGGGATAGGTAGGGGTCACAGTTAAGGACGTGTTCCCTCTCTGGGAGTGTGTGGGGTACCCTTGCAAAGTAATAAATAGAAACTAAAAGAAATAATAATAAGTAATAAGATACAATGCCTAGGAAAACACCTGAGGAGTGTAATTACATACAGCTCCAGATTTAGTGGTGCAACACTTATAGCAATATAGATTCCAGTTGAAATACTGGCTTTAGGAGGTTTTTCTTTCTTCCCCCCCGCCCCTTTTAATGAGGTTTGATATTACCATAGCAATTTAAATAATAATATATCACCCCGGTAAATTGGGGTGATTTCTTAAATTGACTGACTATTCCAGATAGTGTTGTTGTAGGGGAAGGACGGCGCTTTCTTTGCCGCTGGGAGCGAGGTGCCYGCTGGCCGCGGCAGCCCCGCTCGGCTGCGGGTTCGGGCGGCTCCTGCCTCCGCCCGGCAGTGCCCGAGGGTCGGAGCGCGGCGGGCGGGGTCGCGGGGGAGCGAGCTCGGGCAGCCCCGCTCTGTCCCGCCGCGCTCCGCGTGCGCTGCGCGGCCGCCCCGCAGGGCTCCCCAGCGGCCGTGTCCTGCCGGGCAGCGCCGGGCGGCGCGGTGCCCGCCCCGGGTCCCGCCC